AACGCCGGATAATAGACACCTGCACTGATTTCAGCGCTAGAAATCTCGAGAGTCGGGACCGCCTCGAGGGAATGGCTACGTTTCAGTTACCGACTGGCCGGACTGGGATCCGGGGACGACTCTGCGTCGCGCCGCTGCTCACTACTTACGTATCAGTGTTGATGGCATGACGTTGAAGATAATACGGTATACCAATTCTCAGATATCCAGTCATGAACCGATGTTAAACCCAATTTTTACTATGGCATTTGCCACTCCTGGCTTTTACCGACTGGCTTGTTGAGTCCTCTTGGTTTGCTTGAATAGAAGACTCCGTGCCTGCCAGTATCAAACGGTATATCAGCGGCGGATGACAGGATACATTACTGCGCCCCCAACTGTGCTAGGGTCAGAGCACGGCGAGAGCTGTGCGCCTGCTGCGTCATCGATACTGGGCTGCAGTGAAGAGACAATCAGTGGAAATGGCTGCATATTTATCGACGCTGCCGGGGCGCTAGTCGTGTGAGCGCGCGATAAATTACCACGACCTATGCCCAGGCTTGCGTGGCTTGTAAATGGATTGCTGGTTCGAAAGTCGATCCGTAATGGATTCTCCTGGTTAGGTAATGAGAAACTTTCTGCATTTGTTTAATTTATTTGGGACAAATGAACCGCGGGTTAATTTCAGCCGGTTGGCGTGAACTCGTCTGTCTGATTGAGGTGTCCCACGCCTCCGGTCCATCTGAATGGACACACCAGTTTGCCGTTTGCGTTGCGCTGTTCATGCACCAGCGCTGTCTTCTAACACAACATCTTCCGATTAAACGCAAATCAATATCGGTCTTTGACGCCACTATAAGCAAATGCTCTTTCATTGGGCGACAGATTGTTGTCCTTTCTCGTGCTGAGGCCAGTTTTACCAACAGAGCCGCCTGCCGGAATTCTTTGTCTAAAGACTGTTTCACATACGGAGCGTAAACGGTAAAGCTTCGACTTACGTGCTCATCGCGTTTACGCTCCGTAAGTGAAACGGTCTTAAGGCAAAAAAATTCCGTCAGGCGGCTATTTTTCTGTTGGTAAAACTGACCTCTGATTCATTTTGTCCATGTCATCGGCTGGGTCGTTGACTGCCTTGTATCGAGCCGCCAGGCACTGCATGACAACCCTCCATCACTCAGTGTGACACGCTTCAGTGGGCTCTGTCACGGTCAGCCTCCTCTGGACATTGTGTCTTGTAGTCGGCCCTACTCAGGGTCCGGACCAGTCCGCGCTACAGGACGCCGTTCTACACGCGGCTCAGACATTGATGAGCCGATAACGACCTCAGGAACCCGGATCCATGGTGATCGCTACATGCGATAGCGGACGTTTTGTGTTCGGTCTACTTCCTAAGGATATTCCTGTAACGTTTCCGCGGTAAAAGCCGCATTGACGCTGCGGCGGCATTGTGGTGCCATTGTGCGTCGGCGGGTATTCGGGAAGGGCTGACGCTGCGGCGCGCTCCCTGGTGACCGGCCGGGCCGCTGACGACGGCCGCCGGCGGGCTCGGCGCGCTCTTCAGACCGCGGCCGCTGACGCCGCTGCGCCGCTCAATGGACGCTCACAATGACCGCTGACCGTGGGCCGTGGGCAGTGCCCACTGGGCACGGTGGTGTGGCGTGTTCCAGGGGTGGTGCCATGGTGTGACCCAGGGGTGGTGGATCAGTGTGTTCTCGGAGCAGTGGTGTAGCCCAGGGATGGTATGGTGCCCGATGGTATGTCGCAGGGACCGATGTCTGGTGCAGAGATTGGCGGCACCGCCACGATCTCTGCACGACACCACCTGCACGACGATGCACGACACCACCTGGTGTCGTGCATCGCCGGCTCCGCCCTGCCCTACAATCCGAGAGCAAACTTCTGCGCCGTACAGTGTAGGGTACCGGGACTCAATCTGTGGCCGTGGCCTGCGTGCCAGACGAGCGGCTGCATGTTTTAGCAGCGGCTAGAATCATGGGGCGAACGTGGTGGGGCGGGCCCGTCTGACCAATAATTCCGAGAGTTTGCCCCGACACTGCTGACTGCAGCCAGCCAGTCAATGGTCAGATTATTCGAACGCCCTGCTAGAAATAATAGGTATGAAGCGTGCATGACTCCGAGACAGTTCAAAAGGCCACATTCGTGCGATGTGGGTGGCGGTAGTTCGATCCATCGATATTTTTCTGCAAGATACCTGATTTTAGCTACTCCATACCCTTGCAGGGCCTTTCCCACATGCCCGCCCATCATCAGCTTCCCCATTCCTTTCTTCATTCCACCCGTCCTTAGAGCAATGGGCGTCCACGCAACCGCTAAGCTCTTTGGCTCGCGGTTCTAACGAATATGTTCACATTTCCACACTGAATGTACTTCCCACTCTACTATTGGCAAGGCCGCGGTCACGTTTAGGCGATCGTTGTGGAGAGTTGCTGCAGGCGACCTTTGCAGAGCCGATGAGCTGCTACACGCCGCTGGCTCTTACCCCAAACCACGGCCGACTGTCCGTAGCAACAGGGACTGCAGGGCCGCTTCAGGGAAGGCACCAGACCGGCAGATGGCTAACGACTGTCCTCATGCCGTTATGGCCGCTAGTTTGGGCCCGTACGTCTGGTATTTGGGTGACCCGGTGGGCGCCGGGTATGGGGCGCGGGTATGATATTTTCGCGTCAGTAGGCTAATGCTCTCACTAGATGGCACTAGTAGTGAGCGCCTGAATTTAGGCTGTACCGCCGAGCACTGCTTCAAGCGCACTGCTCTGTAAGATCGCTGAGCCAACACGGCATGCTCGTTAGTTGAACGCATTGAATTTGACCATTATTATCGAATACCAGGCAGGACACTGAGCAGCTTGATCATTAGTTGTCGGAAAGGCATCCACTGCCGTCATTACTCAGATTATATGATTAATCAGAGTGTGCCATTATAACCACTCACTCGTTCAACTAGTCATTGAGAAATGACAGGCACTGACTTCACTGAAGCGGCCTCCACGAACGAGATAGACGGAATTGTGATTATCTGAACGGGATTGAAATTCCTCAGCTTTGCTATTCGAGGAGGTTTGCATTAATCGAAAACCGGGCGTAATCTTGATGACATTTGTGTATGATCTCCAGTTGATTGATTATGCCTGTGCATTTAAGTTGTGTTGATGAGTGTCTTCAACACGTTCCCGCTCTGCAAACATGTCGTCGCGCTGAGCATTGTTGACTGAATGTCTCGAGCTGTCTGCGAAATGGACGTCTTTAAATGGCCTCTCACTCAGAGTTCAAAGCCTCCGTCGTTTGAAACCAACAGCCTGCACCGTCCGGCCTCTGGTTCATTTTGCGAATGTTGTGGAGCCGCTACTCATTTCGGCCTGCGCTGTTCACTGTCCTGTCATAGAGGCGTCGGCTGGCACCCGTCGCTCGTAAAACAGCTCGTACCCAATACCATTCCGGTCGTGACAAGAGGACGACACGCGTAATTAACGGCACAGAGGCCGGCTGGATGTGTGCGCAATTTGTGGAGCTCTTCCAATATGATACCGGCGATAAATCCGCCATGGAGCGGCCCGAAATCGGTTCACAACCACCTCGCGCCCGGCAGACGATGCGCTTTATTGGCCGGCCGAGCTGTTATTTTTGCGGCGCCGGGATTTATTTGTACACGGGCCGGCCGACGGCCGCCGTTTGTCAGCAGTGCACTTGTGCGAGCGGTCCGGCGCCGCTGCCGGCTGGCTGACTTAGGCGGCTGATACGGTCTCGGCACGGCGCAGCACGGTAACTGACCGCCGGTCAAATGTCGTGACCAGTGGTCATTGACTTAACTGTGGGTCTGAGAAGGTCGCTGTTATCTGTCCACTAACTGATTAAAGATGACCGCAGGGGGCATCCGGATGCAGAGGAGAAGTTCGACGACACACTTCCCATTAGTAGGTATGCTACGATACATTTACCATGCATATTTACACAACAGAATGTTTTGCCTCGATAGCGATTGATGAGTGCACCAGAGCGTGCCGTATTGATTGATAGCTCGTGTTGACGGAAACTGATGGATGAAGCTCTCTAGATGGAAACACTATGTCCATCTCCCCGTAATATGATACCAGACTTATTTTCTCGTACGATGACATTAGCGCATTGGTAATTGACAATCACCGCATATAAACAGTTTCGGACTAGCGGGAAAAGTGGGCGCTGCATTGCATCCTGTACAGCACAGGTGGAACTGGGGCCTGTTTCGTCCGTTTTTACGAATTCTCCCTGGAGTCGGCCGCGCCGTCCGGGCCGGCCTCCCTAGAGACGCTCCAGAGATACCATTACAGCTCCGCGTAAGTGGAAAGCAGTACCTACAGCTTCCACAGCCGCCGCGCAGCCCACGGTCCGCTCGGCTTGGCTCGGGGATGGTTGTGTATTGTGGCTCACAGACGGAAACAGCGATCCAAGGTCGGGCCGTTAGGGTATGGTCAGAACTATCCATCTGCTGATGAAACTCCCTTTGTGGACTCCCGCGGTGAACTATGAACTCTCGGCAGGAGAAATTCTGGGTTAAATTAGTATTGGGCTGAACCTACGACAAGACCCATTGGTGAGTCGAATCGGACCAGCACACAATTCTTTTTAATCAGACTACAGTTCAGTCTTCAGGGCAAGGCCAAGTCAAAGGTCGAACTTGCAAACTTTAGCATCATTAACTTCTAACAAGGTGTAGCAGTAGGCGCCGATGGCAGAGAATTGCAACTGCCGCACGGGACAGTAAACTATTGAGTGTGTTGAGTGCGACCCAACCCTATTCTTACCCGTACCACACAGACGAATCGAAGTTACCCTACATTTACCTCTACCACCTAAGCGTGCAGGAGTTACCCTACTTCACAGTTGCACCAAGTTCTTTCCCTTTCCCCCACCCTGTAGTCGTGCTGGAATTACCCCGATTTTCCCCCTACCTTGTGCTAGAAGAACCCCTACCCCTATCTCGCTGTCGTGCTGGAATTACCCCCACCTTTCCCCTATCCGCAGGCGTACGTCGTGCGTTCGACTACCGGGACATGCGGCAGCACACGGAGCGCCTGTGGCGCCGGCTGCCAGAGATCCGCGACTGTGTGGCCAAGAGGAAGAAACACGCGCAGTTCCGCACCAACCGACTCATGTGGCAGGTCTACAGACAGGTGAGTCTGACGGGGCGGGGCAGGGCGAGGGAACGGGAATTCGAGTGTGTGGGTCGGCTGGCGGGGCAGGGCAGGGCGAGGGAGTGGGGATTCGAGTATGGGTCGGCTGGCGGGGCAGGGCGAGGGAACGGGGATTCGAGTCTGCGGGTGGACGGGTTGTGGCATGGGTTGATTAGGAATATCACTTCAGTGACTCAGAGCCGGTACTCAAGTGTGGAGGGCACGGAAGCAGGGAAACGGGATTGCACAGCAGTTACGCGGGATGACAATGGCGAACCTTCTGAGGCTCGAGCATTTTTCTGCAGTTGAGATTCAGAATGGCTGCCGCAGGTGGCTGTGATTTTATACAAATAGCCTCGGCATGTTGTTTACTGCGAGGTCATTTAGTTAATGTATTCATTGGATCGTGTCTTCATTACTGAGGTCTTTTACTGTCCCTACGATCGGCTGAAGTCCCCCTCAATATCGAGAGTAAGGGAAATCGCTGGGTTGGAGAATGAAAATGCATGCAAAATGTTGGTAATGAAAGGCAATATTGCCTCCTTCCCACCCACGCCTGCCGCTCACTCGCGGCCAGTATTGGGCCGAGCTGCTTGGCCCACTCTGCTCCATCTTCCCACCGTCTCGGTGTTGGCTGTGTGAAGGGCAGCCGCTGGGGTCCGCTGGTGCCTGTCGATAGGCGCACGGGGCAGCTCGCTGCTGCCCCTAGCAGTCGGTTGCCGACTGGCTGCTCCGTTCCGGTAGACGTTGCTCCGGGGCCGGCCGGGCTCGCACATACGTCCGACGTTGCCGTACAGCTCCGGCGCCGCCGTGTGAAATCGCCGCCTCTGTGCAGCCCGGCCGTCATATTGGGAGCCGGTCACACAAACTGCCGGGAGGGGGACGGGGGGGGGGCTGAACCCGTGCCCTGCAGTCGGCCGGCGCGGGAGATGGCCCGGTTGTGCCGCATAGTGAAAAGTTTGAGGCGGATGAAAGTTATCGCCTGCATATAATGCATTTATATGGCAAAATGATGAAGCTCCGACTCTTCGACTTGGCCATCGGAGTTTTGACAGCGACGCTGCAGTAAAAGAGCATATTGCGTGTCAAAGTTAGTTCTGTGAATCCCGGCCGTCTGGATGTGAGGTCTGTTTGTCCCCCAGGGGGCGCCGAGTCCGTCTGTGCGCTTCAGTTGGGCCACTTTCTGCGCCATCAAACTGTCCGTCTGTCTATCTGTCTGTCCGTCTGTCGGAAGCAGCACCCTGTCTGACGGGACCGTTTGAGCCAATGCCGTTGTCTGTGGCCTGCCTATCGGGATTGTTCGGGCGCTGCTTGTTGGTAGGACTGTCTCTCTGTGTGAGTTAGCTAGCGGCCATCGCTGTCGTTAGACGACCCGGTCAGAAGAGTGGAACCTCCTCCGATTGTACGATCGACGCGTCTTCTGATGACTCGCTTACTGTATCGGCAAGGTGGCAGCAAATTTATGTCCAACACGACGTCTGCGCCTCGGCCGCTTTTCTCACCACAGCAGCGCGGACCGGCCGGCGGCGGTTTGGCCTGTCGAACCCCGTGACGTCAGCGCGCCGCGCCGCACGCTAGGCCGGCGGGCCGGAAAAGCGCTAGAAATACCCCCAAGAGTGACTTTCCACAATGTAAACAAAATAGGTATCATTCAATCCCAAATTGATCAAAGCATACGATTCTGATGCCATTTTTGCCCTAAGGTCGAAATTGAGGTGGTCAGTTGTCACCAAACACAAGACTATCTAGACTCACTAGTGGCCACCACATTTGCCGATTTTAATGCTAATCTTTAGTTGATATTTATTAGTTGACCAGTTGTCGTTTTGAACCCAATTTTATGTCAGACTAGTTCAGGGAACTGTTGTTCACTGTACCAACAACATTCTTACATATTGCATCGCTTTTCTGCAAGATAAGCTAGCTTTTTGCAAGCAGCTGCAAGACCTAAATAAAAATCGTATCTGAATTTTTAAATAAACTTTTATAAAAACGTTATTTCGAGCGGCTAAAAATGAACATCTTATACTAGCCTCTGATTACTCATCTTTCGTTCCATATAGGTGCTTTGCTGCTTTTCCCTGCTACTTTTCGAGATATGCGCCAGTAAACCACATGATGTAGGGGCAATTGTCACCTCGCCGCTCTACTGACGGCCCGGCGCTCTTTAAAGCGCTGAAATTTATGAAAAACGAATGCTTATAATCTGAATAAAACATATGTCCCTGAGCTCAGAATTGATCAACGCACACAATGCTGTCAAAATTTTTGGGCCAAAGTCAATAATTAAGTCATTATGAACCCCCAAACACAAGTCAGTGATAATCAACAACAACTTGCTCTTTAGTTAGACTTTTTGAGAAATGTTATTTCGAGCCGCTAAAGATGAGCATGTCATGCAAACAACTAGTCAATTGTCTGTCATGCCCTATTGACGATTATTGCCTATTACTGCTACTTTTCGAGATATCGTCTGCTACGTCACCTGATATAGCTGCTATGCCATCCTACCGCTCAGGATCGCACGGCGCCTGCTGTGACCTGACCGGGCAGCAAAGCATTCCCAACTTCCGTAACGATACAGGTACTTACTGGAAGGTAGTCGGTTACTCTCTCTCTCTCTCTCTCTCTCTCTCTCTCTCTCTCTCTCTCTCTCTCTCTCTCTCTCTCTCTCTCTCTCTCTCTCTCTCTCTCTCTCTCTCTCTCTCTCTCTTTCTCTCTCCCTCTCTCCCTCTCTCCCTCTCTCCCTCTCTCCCTCTCTCCCTCTCTCCCTCTCTCCCTCTCTCCCTCTCTCTCTCTCTCTCCCTCTCTCCCTCTCTCCCTCTCTCCCTCCCTCCCTCCCTCCCTTCCTCTCTCTCTCCCTTCCTCTCTCTCTCTCTCTCTCTCTCTCTCTCTCTCTCTCTCTCTCTCTCTCTCTCTCTCTCTCTCTCTCTCTCACACACACACACACACACAGACATACACACTCACTCCCTCTTTCTCCCTCTCTCATGCTCTCAATCTTTTTCTCTGTCTCTTTCTCCCACTCTCTTTGTGTGCATTCATGTATGTACGTACATGTATATGCATGCATATATACACAATACACATCTTACCAGCCAAATATGTACGTATATATGCATGCCTATGTGTTTTAAATCAGCAAGTAGTTTTACAACTAACCCAAGTTAGCCGCCGTTTAGACAGCTCGAATAGGAACCCGTTCTACCTCACACCATACGCATTGCTTATGCAGCTGCATGCTTGCATCATAGGCAATACTTACGTGTTACTACATGAGCATCATGAGTTAAGCAGACTCAGTTTGTATATAGTATGTTTGCTTGCCGCTGAGACCAGCCATTCAGTCACAAATAATTTATAGCGCTTTTCCGGGCGGCTGGCCCAGCGTGCGCCGTTCCGTCCGCGGACACGGCAAACTTGAGCCGCCAAATTGCCGGGTGCGACACGCCGCCTTCGGAATGGCGTCAGCAAAACGGGCTCCGGAAAACGGCCGGAAAATCTGTCGCCGTCTGAGGCGAACTGAACGGCGGACGAGCTGCGCCGGACGCGCTCCAAATGAGCGCCCGAAGAGGACAGAGCGGGACGTCCGGCCCAGAGAGGACGCGAGGACCGGGCGCACGCTGCGGTTTCGCGCTGAACTGCTGAGTAGGGAGGCTGGTCTGCACCTGGTCAGCTCCCGAACTGTTGCTGACGCCGCTCTGTTTTGCCCTGTTTCCGCTTACTCCACTCGGAGGTCTATAATGCGTCCATTTGGGAGTTCGGAAGTAGGAAAACACTATAATTATATTACTGCAACTGCCGAGCTATAAAAGCTAATCGCATGTCACGCTTCTCTGCGTGAAATTGATAAAGAAAAACAATGTTAAGCTTACCGCACGTGAAAGCTTATCGCACACCCTCGCTGGAGGGATGCTGGGCGTGGAGAGGGGCGGCGCCATGTGGTGTCCCGTGTCACCCTGTGCTCCTGACAGCCACACTCCAGCCCGGTGTCGGCGTGTCGGCAGTTACATCGGGCGGTGGCACCGGGCGCGGCTCAGCTGTCGTTGACATTTCGCGCTCGCTGGCGCTAACGACATGTACCGGTGTGACCCCGGCTTCTGTCCGGGCGCCGGGTCCATTCCCGGCTCCAGTCAGCCCAGCCGCAGCTACAGCCGTATAAAGCTCGCAGTTCCAGCTTATGGCTGAAACTGCTCCAACGCTACCCCAGGTCCATCTGCAGCCCCATGGCTCCACTTTCATTTCCAACCCCACCTTCACCACTGACTGATTCTAATTAGCACACCTGGGCTTCATTTCCGGGTCCTAATTGAGTGTCCCGCCCCCGCAATCTGCAACCATCCCCCTGTGGCCCGCCCATCCTCAGTCGCTCTCGTTCAACTGACTGGCTCTCCGTCACGCGGCCGCCCGGTGAGGTCTGACGTCTGTAGCGCAGAACAGCGCCGCGATCGGTGCGACTCATAGTGGCGCCGCACGGTTTTTCACGCGCTAACGACACCGACAGACTCGTTAGCACCGGGAGGTACCGTCTAATGAGTGAGCGGCCGGCTGGCGTCGGCCCGGCACGGCCCAGCGTCACACCTGACTCCAAACGGAGAGCTCGCCCGAACTAGTTCCATCCGAGCCGCTCCGCCGTGCGGCGCTGTCAGAAAATCAATGGTATTCGCTGTGTTTTGTTCCGCGGTTCCAGTACACCCTCCTGAGAAAGTCGTTATGTAATGATCTGTGTCTGTTGTTATATTCTTGTGAAGACGTGCGCGTGGTGGTTAGTTTCTCGTCTTTCTTTTGTGGATAAAAAGAGGTGTTCTGTCAGGCAGACGTTTTTGGCATTGTCTGGTTCGGCCAATCATACTTTATACGTTTGCTATTTGTTAAACGTGAGTGGTGACTTGCGAAAGAAAGGGGAAGGAAGGGGAAAAGGGGAAGAGGAGAGCGAGAGACAAAAATAATAAATATGAGAATATGCAAGCGAAGGCGGCGGGCGCCGTTTCTCGCCCGGT